ATGCTTGTCGGTGGACACTTATTGAAAAATCTGCTTAAATTTCAAAACGACATTGAAGCTCTAAAACTCTGCTTTTCAAATCTATTCCTTCCTTCCTTCCTTCCATCACCCCAAAATCACCTATCAGAAAGTCCTTGTGTAAATGTTCCTGTTATGATTGGGTAATGGGTTCGTGTCCCTTTGAGTAAAGGGGAAAAAACCCAACCTTTTTCCAGTTTTGGATAATTTACCCAGGTTTGGGAAGTACGACTCTGAAGGGTTGACTTGGAACATCCAATCCCTAAGGGATGTCGGGATTTACACAATGCTTTCTTTGTTAGAAGGACCCGTTTGTCAATTTCTTCTTCCACTCTCCAAGATGGAACAGAACTATTAGGAAACAGAGCTTTGTGCTGTGAACAGATTTGGCTACTGATCAATGACTTCAGGCTAACAACCCAGCCTGGTAACCTTTTTGGGAGTCACCTTAACACCTGACTTCCTGTTGCTCATGACAATTGCCTTCTTTCCAGCATTGTGAAACACAGCTAAGCACCAATAGCACTTCGGCTTTTTCTTTCCGAGTGGTCAGGAATAAAGAGGTTGCATTGTGCTTTATTTTGTAACAGAAATAATTGTTTCAGTCTTCTTTGTAGTGAGAAAAGCAGGTGTAACTCCAGTCATTTAGCAATTATCTGTATTCTGTGCCTCCTGGACCATTTTTACGGCGATTTCAAGAGACGTCTGGAAATGCTTATTCTTTTTTGATGGTATTTTGCACCAGTCAAGCAGCATCCAAGAGCAGAAGAGACCCATAAAATGTGCCCATGGGGCTTCGCTCTTTCCAAAGTTGGTCTAAGAATCCATACTACCCAATGTTGTCCCTTGGCTTCTGCCTTCACTAGATAAGTGCAAGAACACAACCACACTCTGCAGGGCAGAATTATCGTTGAAAGAATATTTTAAAAAATGAATGCTCCTTCGGGAAACTGAATGAAATCTGTAGAGGAAATGCAGAGCAGTGTTCCTACCCAGGACACATCACTACAGGTGACCCTCAACTTACAAGCATTCATTCAGTGACCGTTCAAAGTTACAATGAAAAAAGTGACCTATGACCGTTTTTCACACTTACTGCCATTGCATCATCCCCATGGGGGTCACGTGATCCAAATTTGGATACTTGGCAACTGGCATCTATTTATGACGGTCGCAGCGTCCCAGGATCACGTTATCCCCTTTTGCAACTTTCTGATGAGCAACGTCCACGGGGAAGCCGGATTCACTACTTTTTGTTCCTTGGTACACAAACACAATGAAATAATAAAAAAAAATGTGTCTGTTCAAATCAAAGTTTCAAACTTGTCCAGAAAACTTTCAGAAACGGAGTACTTCCCATTGTAACGTTCCCAGAATGTTTCTTCTTTCGCCAAGATATTGTTTTTAGAAGATTAGTCACATTTTAAAACCGTAGCTTCCGTAAGAGAGTAAAATCCAGTCCGTTTAAGAAGTAAAATAAAACTAATTGACAGATTAAAAGTTGCAGTAGTGTGCTCAATTTGAGTGAATGTTCTAACTTTGCTTATTCCAAGACTGGTGGTCTTACAAATACGGGTAGTCCTCCGTTTATGACCACTCACTTAGGAACTCTTCAAAATTATGAGACTTCTGTCCTGTTTTACGGCTGTTGCGGATGTGACCCAGGTTTAAAAAAGAAAAGTGAGGCTGGACCTGCCACCTTGACTTCCGAATCCTTCCCACACAGCCCTCCAGGAGAATATATAAAAGCAGCACTATCGGTTTCGTTTCTCTGAGGATCCATTTAACACAGCCCAGTATATTGTTCTTTTTTAAAGTAATATTTTATTCTGTATTTGCACATCCCTCTGTGTCTCCAGGGAAGCCCGCCTTGCCTTGCATAAAATCTTCCTTGATGCAAACAATGCACTGGGTTAAAAGGTCCACTAGAAGGAAGAGAAGGAAAAAAACAAACAAACCAACGCTGAGTTTCCGCCTGAGGCATATTTAAAGAAAAACAGCATCTCTGCTTTCTTATATTAAAAAAATTTATTGAGATGATGTAATTACAAGCATTTAAAAATTATTTGCAACTCACTGGCCCTGAGTAAAGGCATTCTTGTTTTGCTTTGTTACATTCATTCAGTTCACTCCCTTAAACCCACACCTCAAAAGAAAATCGGAAGCGCCATCTTCAACAGATTATAATTTACTTAAGAAAATAATAAAAAAGAGATTTTTTTTCTTTTTTTTTAAAAAAAGAAAACAACGCGACAGCACAATTTCCTTTTGCCTTTGCATATGGCTGCAGCTAATTCAACAGAAAACAGTAGAAGACTTTTACTCTTAGTTCTCCTCCGAACTCTTAAGCTGCCAGCAATTCTCCATATGCAGGGGGAATTCTTACACGGGGCTCTTTTCCAAAGTTTTCACACTGACGTAGCAGACTTTCTGTTCCTTTTAACCCTGGCTAAGAGAGAGCTGAGGGCTGCTGGCACAACAGGGAAATGCAAAACGTTACAACAGGAAGACAATTTATTTTATTTTCTACCAAATAGACCCACCGTTGCCCTTTTGAAGGGCAGCCACGCATTAATTGTAATGTGTACTTTGGCTTCAAAGGAAAAACACTGTGATTCAGTTCCCGAATATGGAAAACACGCTGTTCCCGTCTCAATTTATCTCACTCTTTAATATCTATCGTAATCCAGACTCTTTCTCTCCCCCCACCCCAAGATACCGTATTTTCATAAATTGCTTCGGCCAGATGCGTCCAATTTGGACGGCCCGTGTGGGTTAAGGCCAAACCACCACTCAAACACTCATCCCCCATCCTCATCATCTAACCCAATATACTGTATATATCAGACATGACCCTGTTCTCAGATTTCTGCCTTCTCTAAATTGTAGCTTGTCTTTTGGCAGCAATGATGGCGGCTCCGTCGGGACTGGGTCAGACTTGACTGTTTCGTATTTTTTGGTGGCTACTTAGAGGCTGAACCCAGATGGAGCCTGTCATTTTGAAGCTTTGGTGGGAAAGGAGAAGCAGCAGCCTGTAGGAAAGGGACAACACCCTTTTTCTGCTTTGTGTGTGTTTGTACATTTTCATTTGCTGCATTTTAAATGGTATACATCTCTACAAAGAGTGAATCTCCTTTTGCCATGGATTTTGCTAGCCAGGGTGCCTGCATAGGAGTCAGGATGATTGCTGTAAACATGAGTTGAAGCCCCGTCCTCTTTTTACCTGCAGGCTTTGACCCCACAATCTCCCTGTCTTTAACATCCCCTTCCCGGAAGCCCCTCTTGCTGGCTCTTTTTAAGGAATACTCCTGCAAAAAGTGGCAAGAAGCCATCTAACCTACGTCTCGGACTGCGCGTACTTACCATCTTGAGAACCTCAAACATAACCCTCTCCTTTTCAAAAAAAGTAAGCTTCTAGCCCTTAACAGTTCAGAAGATAGGCTTAAAAGGCTGCAATGAAATTTCCAAAACAAGAAGCAGGTCTCCACTGATGGGAAGTGAAAACGAAATGCAGGACATGCCTCTGTGCTCCTCAGCTCAGAGAAGCAGACGACGATACACAAAGAAAACAGATGCAAATATACTTCATTTGCCCCAAAGAACCGACTGATACAGTTCATTCCTTTTTCTGACACTGCTTAAATTACTGTGGAGTAGAATTTCGACTTCCTTCCATGTAGGATTTACATGGCTGTGGCATGGCTGCCCACGGCGGTTATAAAAAACAAACGCTCTTATATAGCCAGCATTTTTGTCATGACGTGTGAATCTCTGAACCCAACGAGGAATAACTTCATTTGTGGTTCAGAAAGAGAGGGACGACTTCGACCTAGAGGGAGTTTTACAGAACGAAATCTTCCTACCAACGAAAGGCACATACAAATCTCCTCTTAAGGCTACACAGCTCATCCGTTGTTGCAAGAATCCAGAACACTGAAACATAATAAAAAACAGTCTTCAATATTCACATCCACCTAAGAAATGAGGAAGATGAGTAGAAAACTTCAGAGGGTGTGTGTGTGTGTGTCTGTGTGTGTGTGTACAGAGCAGAAGCAAAGGGAATGAGAGGAAGATCAACCCAGAGATTCAATTCCGTCTCTCTGGGCTGTGAAGGCCACTCCTGGGAAAATTATAGCCCCCCTTTTGGAAATCCTAACCCTTCCTTCTCCTTTGAGGACCGACTCTTCTCCTCCCAGACCGGGGGGGCCGCTGGCTGGCCCCAACCCCAAGAGGGAGGGAAAAGAAGCCAAGGCTGAAAACCACCCCACGGTCCACACGCTCTTCAGCCTTGCCGCCGAAAGGCCTTCAGGGACCATCCAGCAAACGATTCCACCCCTCCATCCGCGTGGTTTCCGCTTAACCCTTTCTTGAGCTGGACCATCCTGAAGAAATCTCCCGGCTTCTGCTGGTTCCTGGAGTAGTTTCTCCTACTCATTTGGACAGGGCCCCGGTGCCCGGATCCAGTCCGTGTCCTTGGAGGAGCCAACACCCCCCGAATGACGGCGCCCTTTTTCCCCTCTGGCTCCGGGAAGGAATTTTGGTATTTCTCACGCCCCCAAACCACGGATTGCCGTCCACGTTCTTTGATCCTGGTGGCGATGGATGCCGACTACAAGCAGGTTTGGCATCTGGGGGCCTTCTCTCCGATGCCTCTTGCCCTCCGGCCCTAGATTTTTTTTCCCCCCTACAGAGGCGCTCGTGAGAATCTGCAGTGACCCACAGTTGTGCTAATTTCCATAGGAAAGCATTCAGAATACGCAGCCCCCAGATGTTCTGCTCTACAAAAGGAGTAAAAAAAAAAAAGCCCAAATATTAATTGGACAAGGTTAATTAGAAAAAAAATATAATATATATATATTTATATATATATATCCCAAACTGACCAACCGAAAACAAAAAATGAAGCCCAAGGCGAGACAGGTCCTCAAAGTCGGGCGAGAGGGCCGCGCTCTCCTCTCTGGGCCAAATGTTGCTGCCACCCCACCCCTGCCAATCTCTTTCCTCGCTAAGGTGCCTGCAGGTCCGGCCGGTCCCAGATCAATGCCAAGTCCCCATCCCGACGGATCTCCAGAGACGGTTCCTCCATGGACTACGGTGAAGGACGTGGATCGGATCCTCAGCACTCGTCTTCCTGGTAGATCTGCTCGTCCAATTCCTGAGATTCCAGATGTTCTAAGCGGTCGGTGCGGCCGCTCATAATTTCATCTGGCGTCTTCATGAACCTGCAGAAACAAACAGCGCGTAAGGGAGGCATATTTTTTTTTAAAAAAAACCCTGGTATTGGCGTTTTTTCACTGCTTCTGAGAACTTTGCACGACAGCCTTTGTGAACTGCAGCCAATTTCTGGTGGCCACTACGTTATAAATTGTTAATTATTTTACCAATCAAAATGGGGAACTCTATTTTCAAACTTTCACTAATGACCAGGCCTATAATAATAATAATAATAATAATAATAATAATAATAATAATAATAATAATAATAATAAAGTTGGAAGGGACCTTGGAGGTCATCGAGTCCAACCCCCTGCCCAGGCAGGAAACCCTACACCATTTCAGACAAATGACTGTCCAGCCTCTTCTTAAAAACTTCCAGTGTTGGAGCATTCACCGCTTCTGGAGGCAGGTTGTTCCACTGGTTAATTGTCCTCACTGTCAGGAAGTTTCTCCTTAATTCCAGGTTGCTTCTCTCCTTGACGAGTTTCCATCTGTTGCTTCTTGTCCTGCCTTCAGGGGCTTTGGAGAAGAGCTTGACTCCCTCTTCTTTGGGGCAGCCTCTGAGATACTGGAACACTGCTATCATGTCACCCCTCATCTTTCTCTTTGTTAAACTAGACATACCCAATTCCAGCATTGCTAATGACAAAGACATTAGAATACATATAAAAGATTGAGTAGCCAGCCATGATTGATCATATTGAGGTGTATATCTTTTAGTCCTTAACTTACGACTGGTAAAAAATTCACAATCACCTGAACAAAAGTCTTTGTCCTGGCTCCTTTCTGATAATATTCAGTTTGTAGTAGTGGCGCAGGGCACGAGACATTTTCTCATAGGTCATGTTCGTTCGGTTCTGTTCCATTTAAGACAAAGAAAGCCAGAATTAAAACAAGTTACCAAAATGATAAGGAAAGGAGGGCTGGCTAAACCCCCGTTCACATCCCCTACCCCCCTTGTCCTTGTGGCCTTCTCTTATGTCATGCTAGATAAAAACATTGAGTCCAGAAATCGTACAGTCTACAACTTGGAGGAAACCAATAAATCAACATAGGCGATTGTGGAGGCTCGATTCTTAAGAATTCCCCCTTTTTTGTTTATCCTAAATAGGTAAGCAGTTGGACTACTGTAATGCACTCCCAATGGGGCTGCCCTGGAAGGTGATTTGGAAAATACACACCTCTTCTTTTCTAAAGCAGTATTTCTATCCTTATTTATCTATTTATTAGCCCATATTACCTCTGCCGGCAGGGGAGGCACATGGTGGGCCGTGCTGGCCAGGTTGTTGTGTCTGGCAGGGCCCAGGCCATGGCCTTCTCTACTCTTCCCCAGAGAGGCCGGCTCCAACTGACCTGAACTGGTCAGCTGGCCTGGAGCTCCAATGGGGGAGAGGGGGCTTCACATTGGGGGTGATTGACAGATTAACAACAGATCTCACCTCCTCCCATCTCACTCCTCCCTCCCCTTCTTTTACTTGGACTGCAGAATTTGGATCTTCACAATATTTTATTTGTACCTCTTAGTTTTTGTACAGTTGTTATCTTTTTAAGATTGTAAGCCAGCCACAATTACCTTCTGATAAAAGAGAAATTCTGTAATTTTCTATAAATCATCATGTTATTTGTTAGTTTGTTTGTAAAATAAAACAAACTAACAGATATCATGATGATTTATAGAAAATTACAGAATTTCTCCTTTGGTCTGCATCTAATCCTTTTTTTAGCAAAATTGTTTTTATTCTTTCTCCATGCCTCCCCAACCATTTAATTCACAATCTCTGCCAGATAGCCCCTCCCTCGTGGGTCCCTCCTACCTTATGGTTTCCCCATAGCCGGGCCAGCCCATTGGGGTCCACTATCCGAAATATTTTGGATTCTCTGTCCTCCCATCGGATGAAATTTTCGTACCGGCTGTCGGAGAGCAGCTGATAGACGTAATCCCAAAGGAGTCTGCAGTCTGGAAAGAGAACAGCAGAAAATGTCTTCAAAAGATTCCTGCCGGAAATGAATTAGTTAATTGGCCACCACTGACTCACCTCCAGGAAAGACGCCAGAAACCGTCATACACGTTACTATTTTTTTTGCAAATGAAGTATTGAGATACTATTTCTCCTCTCAAAGGATCCCAAAGCAATTGACACTAATTATAAAGCAGTAGTTTAGAGTAAAACCAATCCATTAGAAAGGCAGGTGCCAGGAGGCATCCATAGCTGAGACGTGCCAAGACAAAAAGAAGCTTTTTAAGAGGAAACTCAAAACACGGGAATGTTGGGCAAGGTCAACTGCAGATGGTAGGTCTTTCCAAAAATGAAGAGGGGGGGTCCCCCACAGAGAAGGTGCCCTTCTGTGGTGCCACAAAGCGGCACTCTGCAAGATCTGGCAAAGAGAGGAAGACCTTTCATGAAGAACCTCAGTGTGTTGGAGGCCCATCTAAGATGTTCCACACCTTCATGGATGAAGTCCATCCAGACTGGCCTTCTTCAACCTGACAGTCTCCAAGTGTATTGAAGAGCCCATCCCCCCTTCCATTCTCAGCAATCGTCAGCATTCGAATACAACATGCAGAGTTCTCATCTGGACGGTTTGATGGGTGGGGGATGAACAAAGAAGACGGAAACCTGCAGTGGGACCTAATGTGACACCTACTTTTGTATCTAGCTATAATCTGGTCTAGATAATTAATTGGTCTTTGGTTGGAGAACTGGGATAAACAAGAGGATAAAAATTCAGTCTGACTGTCAAGAGATGGAACGGTGTCATGGCTCCAGAATAATTGCTCATTCAGAACATCTCATACTCTGTCTATATACATAACCACGTATATAACTCTTGAATCTCAACTTTTTGGTTGATGACCCAGATGATAATGACACAGTGATCTTTGGCTACTGCCATAATATTCAAGGATTCAACCAGCTCTTCTGTCTAAGATGTTGGGGCATCAGAATGGAAGCATAGATTAGCAGAGTCATGCACCATAAACTTAATACGACTTTAGCAATTTTCCACATGCCTCTATCTAACACTTACATTTCCATAAACACATTAAAAACAGAGGAATTATTCTGGAGGTATTACACTCTTGAGAGCCGGACTGAATTTTTATCCTAATATATATTCCAAAAAGGCCAATAAATTATCTAGACCAGATTAGCAGGCTGGCTGGGGAATTCTGAGAACTGAAGGCCGTGTATATCTAAAAGTTGCCAGATTTGAGAAACGCTCTCCTAAAATACTATTTAGCTGTAGAAATAAATGCAGGGATTCTGGAAGAATGCTTGCTTTTTCTTTCCTTTTCCTAAATCTTCTTTCCCAAGCTATTTTTATATTTTTCCTTCATTGTTAAAGAGAAATGGCAGTTTGCATGTGGTGTTATATGTTTTTTTTTAAAAAAAAAACCCAAAAAAACCCAAAAGCAGATGGAGAAGCAAGAATTGTATTTCCTTCCCTTTCCTTTTCCTGTTGCCAATTCCGGTCCAGTTCCGCCCTGCCCTGCTTATTGTAGTTAGGCTCAACGGAAAACAGAACTCCTCCGCACAAACCTCTCAGGAGGGTTTTACAAATTACAAAGAGAATAAAAGACGTGAAATAACTTCAGTTCTGCTCTCCTGTGGTCCTTTGAGGGCAAACAGTCGCCTTCCCCCTGTGGTGGGACCTGAAGCAGCCTTCTAGCTTCCTTCTTAGCTGATAAAAGAAACCTTCCCCCCCCCCCCCCAACTTGGCAGCAAATACTGGAGTCCCCGGGAATTTATTTATTTATTTATTTATTAAATTTATATACCGCCCTATCTCCCTTACGGGACTCAGGGCGGTGAACAGGTGATACTAAAAACCACGATAATAAATAAATAATACTTTCCAGTTTGGGAAAAAAAAAGAGCCAGAGGAAAAATTGGGAACGCAAAAACTGTCTTATTAGCCAGCCGTGTAACGAGACTAAGAAAGCAAGCAGAAGATCAGAGGATGGCTCCCCATGGAGATGGCAGGCAGTCCTTGACTTACGACGCCACCGAGCCCAACATTTCCACCGCTAAGTGAAGCAGTTGGGAAGTTAACTGAATCCCACGATTGCTAAGTGAGTCTGTCTCTCTCTCTCTCTCCCACCCCCCCCGGGTTGATTTTGCTTGTCAGAAGATCACAAAATGTGATCACTTGACCCTGGGACACTGCGACGGTCATAAATGTGAGTCAGTTGCCAAGTGTCTGAATTTTGATCACGTGACCCCCGGGGAGGCTGCAGCGGTCCTAAGTGTGAAAAATGGTCCCGAGTCCCTTTTTTCAGCATCGTGTAACTTCGGACGGTCACTAAATGAACTGTTGTAAGTCGAGGACTTCCTGTAAAGACTTCCCCCAACTTCTACTGCCCCCCCCCCTGTGCAACTGAATGGCCTGTTAATGAATGGCCTGCATCCCCTTGTTACAGGGGGTTGGACCAGATGACCTCCAAGGTCCCTTCCAACTTTACTATTACTACTACTACTACTACTACTACTACTACTATTATTATTATAATAATAATAATAATAATAATAATAATAATAATAATTATTATTATTATTATTATTATTATTATTATTATTATTATTATTATTATTATTATTATTATTATTATTATTATTATTATTATTGGTTTAGGAAATTAAACAAAGTGGACTTTGGGGGTCCCTATTCCATCCGTGAGTGTCCCCTTGCACCTCTCGTATGGAACCAGCTGACTTCCCGATTTCAAAGTCTGGACGCACCCACACCCACACACAACCACGGCTTGATTAGCAGGAAAAAGGAGAAGGGCTATTTTGGCTATCAGAGAAGTTTGCCAGCAGCTAATTCTGCCACCTGCTTTCGCACTTATCCGCTCTAAATAAAAAGGGACCATTTGTCATTCTGAACGCTAAAAGTCACTCGGGATAATACAAGTTCCCCAGTGTCCAGGGTTTGTGATTGCGTGGCTGCTTCCCTGTGCAGACCACAAGTGCTGGAGGCTCAAGAATGCCCTAATCGTTCTGGCTCAATGAAGCTTGGAAGCAACAGTTAACATTTTGATTTGGGGGAAAAAAAATCAAACTGTATTTCAAACGGCGCCTTCAGATTTGGCTGTTTCTGCAGCCTTTCAAGGGCAAAGCGCCACGTTGGTGGTGCAAGCTTGGATTCGAGGGCCCCTAGATCAGAAAAGGATCAAATAAAGAATCCTTGGCTTCAGTACCCAAATCTCTCTTCCCGGCCATTTGGCTTAGTTGCTGGCTATCGGGTCTCCTCTGGTTTGCCATGTTAAAATAGAGCTGTCATATCTGGGCTGAACAAATTTGGGTGACCACTAGATGGCAGCAAAGAGTAGGGGCTTTCTCTATCTCCACCTAGTGGTTGCTTATTTTATTTTTTATTTTTGTTTCAGCCTGACGCAAAAACCCTGAGGAATCTATCCACAGGTTGCTACTCCAATAGGCATTGCTACTATGCGAACTACATAGACTATGGGTGACTTAGACCCTTTTTCACACTTACGACCGTTGCAACATCCTCATGGTCACGTGATCAAAATCCAGACGCTTGGCAACTGACTCCTATTTACGACAGTCGCAGTGTCCCGGAGTTGTGCGAACACCTTTTGTGACCTTCTGACAAGCAACGTCAATGGGGAAGCCAGACTCACTTAACAACCGGGTTACTAACTTAGCAACTGCAGGGATTCAGCTTAACAACCGTGGCAAGAAAGGTCATAAAATGGGGCAAAACTCAATAAATGTTTCACTTATCAACAGAAATTTTGGGCTCAATTGTGTGTAAGTCGAGGACTGCCTAAAAAGGCAGGATACAAATAAATCAATAGAATGTGATGAATGGAAAGCAGTTTTCCCCATTTGCCCAGCTGCTCTCTCTCTCACACACACACGTGCGCACACCCACCCACACCCATAGCCTAACCCTAACCCATAGTCCCTTATGGATCCTGTGCAAGGCTGAAGGGCCAGTGCCGTCCTCTGATGCAGATGTGAAACTCCCAATGTAGGTTTGGCAATCAAGCCAACTTGTAAACTGGCCTATCCTGGAACCAGAGACGTATTTTCCAGGGAGCCCATCCAATATATACAGCGAATTCCTGCCTATCAAGATTCACTGGGACAGGTACCGGTTTCCTGGAGCCCTCTGATTAACTGCAGGAAGCTCTCAGTTGCAAGGTCTAATTTTAATCAAAGGTGATGAAAGTTAAGAGCTGACTTTGTTTATTTGTGTAAGGCTGATTTAATTCATTTGTTGGGCCAAGTGGGAGGTAAAATTTCATTAAAAAGGCTTCTTGCAAGGAGTAGCAAGTTTTATGAAACTGAAAAATATGCCACGCTTCCTTCAACAACTCAAATAAAGTAACCTTCTAATTCAGGGATTCCCAACTTTTAAGACCCACGGACTTCAACTCCCAGAATCCCCCAGTTCCACGTGGCTGGCTGCGGAATGGGACTCCTCGCTCTTTTAATTCATTTAGATACCGAGCTTCCATCTTCCCTTGCTCTTTTTTGAACTGACCTCATCATGCTGATTAATTAAAAATCATTAATCGGGAAAGTAAAGATGGCGGCCACATTTCCGGGGTACCTGGGGGGGGAGGGGGTGTTGAAAACAACAAGGTGGCAGCCATGCTCAAATGAACACCTTTTGTTTAATGTGCAGTGTGGTTTTGTTTAATGTGCAGGTGTGGACCCCCCCCAGCTTGACTTTTTTGACCACCCCCGGTCTCCACGGTCGCAGATCTGAGAACGGCGTCTGCAGAGGCATAAAGGGGAACGCGCAGCTATGGAGGAAGCCTCGCGCTCTGCCCATTTCCACCAGGCGTCCGTTCTCCAGGCAGAAAAGGCATTCTCCGTTTCGGCTGAAGCGAGGAGGCCACGCAACACCGCGTCCCCAGCTGCTTTTCGCTCCCTACACGTCCACAAACTGCGTAGAGAGAATGTGACATTTAACCCGAAACTGGTCTAACTGGAGGAACCAGCACATCTCCAGAAGGCACCACTTGGCCTCTTTTTCAAAGGAGGCTCCCACCCCTCCTTTGAGGCGGAGAGTCTTCTCCTCATCAGGAAGTCAACCCTGCATGGAATCTGTCCTGGCACTGATTTGTATCTCAAGGGTTAACGGTCTTTTACCGTTGACTACGAGTAGCCTCCAAATGGCTTACGGGCTAATTTGCTGTGTCGAATCCACCAAAAACAAAACAAAAAATCAACTGAGGGGAACGCAGATTTTTAACAGTGACTCCTGATGTAAAAACCTTCTCGTGGGCTTCGGGTTTTTTGCACCCTGCCACTTGTTTTGCTTCAAAATTTCCCCGATGTCCGCCATCTTTCTTTTGATCAGAGCAAGAGAGTTCCTGGGAGTGGTAACAAGAAGTCATTAGCAAACTGACCTGGAGGGCTTAGACCAGGGGTAGTCAACCTTGGCTCTTTTATGACTCGTGGACTTCAACTCCCAGAATTCCTGAGCCAGCTTAGCTGGCTCAGGAATTCTGGGAGTTGAAGTCCACGAGTCATAAAAGAGCCAAGGTTGACTACCCCTGGCTTAGAGGTTGGGTTGTCAGTGGGGACAAGTGACACAAGTCAAGACGGGGGTTGCAACCACGTGATGGAAGCTCTGAACCATCTTGACTTTTTTTTTTATCCGGCTCCGGAGAGACCCGGGACGTTTCTCGCAACGTCTGGCTCCCAACTTCTCCGTAAAGCCTTGGAAGCATCAACCTGAACTCCAGTTCTGATCATTTTGGGTCCCAGATGAGCACAGCCGTTGGGTGAGACGGCCTGCTGAGTTGTGGTGGATGGAAGGCAGACCCTGCCCAAGTCTTGAGAGCGACGGGTTGATATTCCCAGTTCTTCGCTCTTCCTGGGTTAAATCCACCACTCCCTGGCCTAGTGGACCGTTTCTCAACCTCAGCAATTTTAAGACACGTAGATTTCAACTCCCAGAATTCCCCAGCCAGCCCTCTACGCTACCCAGCCTTCCTTTGTGTTGGGCAAACAAGCTCTCTTTATTATCTGGACTGTAAGCCAGCTCTCCCCCCCCCCCCAGCTTCTCTGCTCCCCGGACCGTTTACATGCCGGATGATCGTAATAAAGACAACCATGAAAGTGTGTGAATGGGTGTCTGAGATTGCTGACTTGTTTTTCACTTCCACTCCAGGCCTGTCACATCTCTTGCAAATGCCTGTGGACCACATTACTCCTAATTTGCCTACAGAGCTTTGGAAATGGTGGTTGTTTTAGAAAAAGGGGCCACCGTTCCCTACCCCGTTCTAAAAAGACAACGGTGATTGGGAATCTAAGGTACTGACCTGCGATTCTCCCAATTGGCATTGCGTGCTCTTCAGGGGGCGAGACGGACACCATGATGTGGTTCATGAAGGCCAGCTCTTCACGGTGGGACAAGTTGATGGGCTTCACCTCCCTGTGCAGCCCATCTTCAGACAACCTCGAAGCTTTGAAGTCAACAGAGTGCCGGGGATTCAGTATCAAAGGGTGCATGATTGGGCTGGGCATCAACTGGATGACCCTGGTGTTCTCCTGGCGAGGGCTGGAAGGCTTCTGAGGCACTTCCGAAGGGGTCGGGCAGTGGTTGCTCTCGGCCGGAGAAACCGAGAGAGGGTAAGACTCGTGGTGGTTGTTCTCCTGGTGTTGCCGCGTGCCCAAGAGCCGGTCAGCCGGCGAGAGGCGACGGATAGTGTTCTCCAGGGGGGACTTCAAGGAGCGCTGCTCAGACTCCGGTGAAGGCCTGTGGTTGGCGCTGAGGGGGGATCTGGAGCGGTGCAAGAGTTCAATGGTAGGTGGGTTGTGATGGACCGCGTCTGCTGCGTGTCTTGAAGCTCTGGAGATAAAGTTGTCTGTGAAACAAACAAATGAAGATAAGGGGAAAAAATCAGAAGCTATCAAGTAGGCCAATAAAACTATATCCACCCTTGCAGTCGGCATTCAGCCTGTAGGGCTGAGATGAAATACTATATATATATATATATATATATATATATATATATATATATATATATATATATATATATATATATATATATATATATATATATAAAAATATATATATATATATATATATATATATATATATATATATATATATATATATATATATATATCCAAATTTCTTTTTTTCCTGACAAAGAGTAAAGAATTAAATTGGGAGACTAAGATGGACCATTTCTGGCTTTTTTGCCTTCATCAGTTAGCCATACCCTTTATGGGATTCGAACCTGGGCAGTTATACATACTAGTCAGTGATTTAGTCACTGAGCCACAGGTTCTCTTCCCCTCTTTGCCAGCAGAGTCAAGGGAGTAATTATAGGGAGTTCAGANCTCCCAGCATCATCAGGGTTAACAAGCCAGTCTATGGGTGTGCCTTAAATAAGGTTGTTTAGCATCTGCGCTCGGCTCCTAGAGCGCGTGACCGGCCCCAACCAATCAGCCTGTGACCTGGCTTGTTAACCCTGATGATGCTGGGAGCTCCCAGCGAAAGCTTGGTTTTAAATTAAAGTTTTAAACTCTTTATTCTCCTGGTGATCGTGAGTTTTTTACCTATTTTATACTATGAATTTACCCAGGAGTCCGCAGCATCCCCCAGGATGGGATGTGGGAAAACTGGAAAAAAGACCCCATGTGTTGCTATTGCAGGGGGGGAAAAAGTTGCACTCTTTTACAAAGCCAAGGCAGGCCCTTTACGCGCCCATGTAAATCTTTGAATTTAGTGGAATGGTAATTACTTCCAGCCCCTAAACCTGCCCCTTTCTGCTTTTCCCTTTTCTCCCCTGGCTCGCCCTGGGACAGTTTGAAAGATTTACAAAGCCCCAAGTAGCCTTTCAGATCCCCCCCCCTTGCAATCCCAGAAGGTCCTTTGCAGAAGACCCCGGGGGGGGGGTCACATCCGGCTTGGATTCCTCCAGCGCCCCGTGCTGACCTTCGCCTGACTCCAGCCCCCTCAGACGCTGCTGCTCCTGTCCAAAGACGGCACCCGCCCGTTTCCTGGCTGAAGCTGGAGAGGAAACGGCCCCGGTGTGGACTTTATGATTCACACAGCCCATAAGTCATAAACAAGAAAAGTCGCTCTTTGTTTCGCTATTTAGGTCAGTCTTCCCCAAACGGGCACAAGGAAGAGAAAGACGGGTGCCAAGCCGTGCCCTTGTCTGCGGCGAGGGAAGAATGTTTGGAGAGGGAAGAATGCCAGTGACCGAGGCGGGATTTGGGGCCCGGCCGTGCCACGGGGAGCAGAGCCAATCCAGGCTGCTGAAACACCGGATTCTGGACTCTTGACGTTGCGTTAGCATCTAAATCAGATCTAAACCCCTGGCAACGTTCAGACGTGTTTCTAGCTACCTGTCCAGCGCGAGGATAAACCAGGAGTTATTTGGGATTAAACTCCCCACCGGCAATGTTGTCTGAAAAAGGATGAGAGCGTTAAGAGCTATCTAACTCCCTGCCACTTGAGTCAAAGCCACTGCCTCCATATTATCAGGTGCATGAAACCAGATCAACTTGTGAAGCATCCACGTCAGTAGCTTTAGTGCAGGGGTCTTCAAACGTGGCCCTTTGAGGACTTGTGGACTTCAACTCCCAGAATTCCTCAGCCAGGCACACGTGCCTGGCTGAGGAATTCTGGGAGTTGAAGTCCCCAAGTCATCAAAGGGCCACGTTTGAAGACCCCTGCTTTTAGTGTGTTTTTCCCATAATTCAAACATCTCCCCAGACTGTTTTCCTTCCCCTGGGAACAGACAGGTAAGGATTCAAGGAATTTAGGCAGGGGTCAGCCCTATGTCTCTTGTGGCTGCCCAAGGACTCCAGGCTGGTTCCCCATTTGACCCCTCCTTTCTGCCTGGCTGAAACCCTGATTCTTTAAAAACTCAATGGGCCTCTGTGTTTTCCACCCAACGCAAAACTCTGCCCTTTTGTATTTATTTATGCATGCCAATGCCCCGGGCACAAACCTTGACTGGACTCTCATCCATTTTTATTATTTTTTTTCCATAAAAATGTCAGGAATGGACAGCCCTCCACATGTCCTCTACCCCCACCAAGCAGCTGGGAATCATGAATGTCCTAACTCAAGTGTTTTTCAAACATGGCAACTTTTAAGATGTGCGGACTTCAACTCCCAGAATTCCCCAGCCAACATGCTGCCAGGGGAATTCTGGGAGTTGAAGTCCGCACAACTTAAAGTTGCCAGGTTTGAAAACACAGTTCTAATTTTACAAACATGTTCAGGATTCATAAATCACAGCTATAGGAGTGATCTAAATAGGAAACCCCACACACACAAATTCCATACTCCATACACTGATGATGTTACCTAGCTGGGTAAGGAAACATCTGCAAGAAAACAACCAAGCTCAGAGAGTTCTAAGGGCCCCTGAGTTGCAAACATACTCCTTTATTGTGTGTGTGCTTCCACACCCCACACCCCAGCTGTCCTCTTTCTTCCCACAGCATCACCTGAACTGCTTGTGCACCTTTGCTCCTCATAAACGAAGAGATCCCTGCCGTTACCTTCATCGTGGTTCTGATGCAGCATGACATCTGGCGGAGCGTGGACAGAATTCCCAGGGTGAAAGAAAGGAGAAAACAACATGTGGGAATTCCTTTGCTTCAAGATGTGCTGAAGAAGCTCATACAACACGTCGCCTGGAAGAAAAGAATAGAAAAAGCCAAGTCAGGAAAACGAATTTTGGAAAGACTCTTGAGGTCCCTAAAGATAGGAAGGCCGGTCACGTTTATTCACCTATTTATCTGCATTCATTCTGATACTGCCCAGCTCCTAGGCCAGGGGTAGGCAACCTGGGCTCTTTTATGACTGGTGGACTTCAACTCCCAGAATTCCTGAGCCAGCATGAGGGAAACTTTGGCCCCTTCATAACTCATGGACTTCAACTCCCAGAATTCCTGAGCCAGCATGAGGGAAACTTTGGCCCCTTCATAACTCATGGACTTCAACTCCCAGAATTCCTGAGCCAGCATGGGGGAACTATGTCCCCTTCATGACTGGTGGACTTCAACTCCCAGAATTCCTGAGCCAGCCTGGCTCAGCTTGGAAACCTCTCCCTTTCCCCTCAGTGTGGCTGGCTCAGGAATTCTGGGAGTTGAAGTCCACGAGTCATAAAAGAGCCGAGGTTGCCTATCCCTGGCCTAGGATAATAAAACACAAGAAAAGTCCACAGTCCCTTCCTTCCAAGGCACAAAACTCTGCCTCGTGCCTGAGCTGCAGAAAAGCATTCACAGATGGTCCTCGACTTATGACAACTGAGCCCAAAACATCTGTTGCTATGCGAGACAGCTCTTAAGTGAGTTTTGCCCCGTTTCACAACCTTTCTTGCCATGGCTGTTCACTGAATCACAGGCGGTTGTTAAGTTAGTAATATGGTTGTTAAGTGAATCCAGCTTCCCCACTGAAGGTCACAAAAAGGGGATCTCGGGACACCGTAACCATCATAAATACGAGTCAGTTGCCAAGTGTCTGAATTTTGATCACCTGAGCATGCATGGCGATGCTGCAATGGTCGTAAGTGTGAAAAACGGTCGTAAGTCCATTTTTTGTCGCTCATTTTTTCGCCAGTGCTACTGTAACTTTGAACAAACGGTCGTAAGTCAAGGAGCTCCTGTATGTTTAAGCCCCAGATCCGTGGCTTGGCTGGAGTACCTGGGTTCACAGCAGTCTAAAGCCCACGGAGGGACAAAGTAGACAGCCTGCAAGGAGGGCTGCTCGTGGCAAAAGAAGGAAGCGCGTTGTGATACAACAAGGAACTGCTTCTTTGATGTACAGGTAGTCCTTGACTTATAACCATTTGATGGGAGTTACAAAGGTACTGAAAAAAAAGTGACTTATGACGGCTTTTTACACCCAGAAGCACTGCAGCATCCCTGGGGTCAATGCAGTAACGTTGAATTAAAAATATTGCAGGCGTTGATTCTGCCCCACATCTAATCTCTTGACAGATTTTGCGTTGTCGCCCACTAATGCAGTAAGAGTCCTCCTTCTTTAACGAGTTTTTTTAAATCGCTTACCAGAATGTGGAGACCTGTATCGGAAGTCCTCTTTGGTGAGTAGCAACAGAGCCTTGCCGTTCATCTCAAAGGTGTTGCTGTCAATGGGCCTGAGGGAGAACTCCTTCTCCGCCCACTTTAGCCAATGGGCCACGTCCTCTCTGCTCCAGTAGACGGGCTGCAAGCCTGCAGGGACATCAACAGAAGGGTGTCAGCAACAAGACACTTACAATCCCTTGGGGGAGGCTGGCGGGATGCAGGGCTGTGAGGTGTAATGGGTGAACCTGAACGACCATTTGAAGAGCATGGAGGTATGTGCCTGAAGTTAGAGACGCTAGACCTCATGGATCCGAGCTATCCTGGTCTTCTGATACTGACCACAACAGAGATACTGTAGATATTAAGCTCCTCCATTTTGCTCTCTCTCTCTCTCTCTCTCTCTCTCTCTCTCTCTCTCTCTCTCTCTCTCTCTCTCTCTTCCTCCCTCCCTCCCTCTCTCTCTCTCTCTCTTTGGAGCACAGCTCTGTATTTTTGCAAATGGTACCCTCCACCTGATAGACAAAGAGAGGAGCAAGGAAGACGGCCCGTAGCCTCATAATCTGTCAGGAGGAAATGAACGCTGCCCACAGATTTAGTCTATGCCAGTGGTGGCGAACCTATGGCACGGGTGCCAGAGGCGGCACTCAAAGCCCTCTCTGTGGGCACACACGCCGTCGCCCCAGTCCTAGGCCTCCAGCTGGTTTTATAAAACCTTTTTGCTTTAGGCCTCCGCCGCCATGTGCAAAAAAAAAAAGGGTTCAATCGATCAGTCAATTTCAACTTCTCGCGGGAAAAAAAAAGATCTTGCAAAGTTGGAATTGATTGATTGAACTTTTTAGTCCCACCCAGTCTGCCGTTACCACCGCAGCCACGCCCACCCAATGGGCCACACCCACCCAATGGGCCACGCCCACCCGGCACCCAACGATGCGTAAGTGGGTTTTGGGTTGCACTTTGGGCCCTCGGTCTCTAAAAGGTTCGCCATCACTGGTCTGTGCGCTCTGCCCTTGGACTCAGTCTGGGAACCACAGGCAACCCTCGGAGGATCAAGGGGAGGCGCGCCTGGCTTTCACCTGTCGGAAAGGAGACAGGATCTGCCCTCGGGAGGGAGGAAGGAGAAGCTCCAGCCCCCCCATCTTCCCGGGAATACCACTGCAGCACAGAGCAACTTATAGTAAAGTAGAAATTCAAAACATAAATTTACCTAAGAGCATCAGAAACTATTATAATGTATGGAAACTATTATAATGCAGAATAACAAGAGCAAAGCCCGTCTCCCTAAACTTTCTGTTTCTTTCTTTGAAAGTCCCGTATCTGCAAGGTTGCCGTGCTCAACTCTGCCAGGCGTGACGTGATTTTAGAGTCTTCCCCTGCCAGCAGCTGATTCTGCCGCTCCCCGATTCTATCATTTCAAGAGATGCAAAGCTAAACGCATTTGTGTCCAGACATGTTACATTTTTGGGATCAGGTAGGAAGAATAAATACACACACACTCACACACACACAAAAAAAAGAACCTGCACAAACAAACTGCAATATACAAACTGCAATATCCCTTATGGAAGATGGGCCAAAGATGAATAGCTAAGGGATTGGTAGGTAGGTTGAATTAGATCAAGGGGTAGTCAACCTTGGCTCTTTTATGACTCCGTGGACTTCAACTCCCAGAATTCCTGAGCCAGCTGTGCTGGCTCAGGAATTCTGGGAGTTGAAGTCCACGAGTCATAAAAGAGCCAAGGTTGACTACCCCTGAATTAGATGGATGTGTATTTTGATAAAAGTTAATTTTCTATGTACTCAGTCACCCGTACACAAATTTAACACTGGGAGTCCGCAAATGCAGCCAATGGGGACATCCATAAATTTAAGTTGGCTATGCGGAGAGAAATTCCCCAATGTCGCTGAAAAGTTTCTTTTTAAGAAATCACCTGAAGCCCTGAAATGACATCATGCAACGGAAGATGGATGGCTAAGAATACAGAAGATTGCACTTCGCTCTCTCTCTCTCTCTGCAAAACCTCCCTGTTAGGAGACAGGCACAAAATTGCATTTCCTTTTTCCTCCTTGAAGTAAAATAAATCAAAAGGCTGAACTTTGCTCGCTACAAATTGGCTTAAAATGAGTGCGTGTTTCAAGAGGGAGAGATGCCACCTACTGAAGAACTGCTGAGGTCCTTCAAATTAGCACACGGCGGCTACAACCGGATCAGACCCTGACTCAAATCGACCGTGACCGTGTCCTTTGGAAGGTCAAAGACTGGTGATGAAGTTCAACTCTTTTGGCCACCAAATGAGAAGAGAGACTCATGGAGGAGACCCCAAGACCGATCAGCTCTTGAAGAGGAGACCACAAGGAAATCCCAACGTTTAGACTAGACTTGGAAGTGGCAGAAGGCAGCAATGACAAACAACTCAGAAACAAGAGATCAACAGGGATGTAGAAACAAGTAGTTGGAATAAACTCAAGATTGTCTTTACCTTTTCCTTTTTTTTAGCATCTTCTAACAAATATGCAAGATAAATGGAGGTGTGCGCTACTGGTGGTAAGATATCTGCACATGCTACCTGAAATTACTGCCGCTTTTGGTCTTTTCTCATGTTCCATTATGAATTTGCTGCAAATGGATACTCTGCACCCTGACACCAAGCAACTGGGGAGCCTTAGCGACATCCAGCACGGAGTTTGCAAGACGCTTCCGCACTTTTTCAGTCCACCATTGTCATCCTTGTGCCAAACTGGCAAATTCTTCTGTTTGGTTGCAAACCTGGTGAAAGGACTGTATAAAAAAACACTCTGCAAGAATTTGGTTCTCCTGCAGTTATTCCATTTTCCCAGACGAAAGCAACTACAATATCGTCATAATCCCTCCTCCAGTCTTTTCATGAACTGAAAAGCTGAGCAGGAGCCTGTTAAAATTTAAAGTTTACAGTATTTGGGGGATTGATGTCCCTCAATTCTTCATTTCTTCCCTTCCCATTCAATCTGCCACGCCTCAGGCAAAAAAAAACCCCCAAAATAATTTCTCATTGGATTGACCAGAGCTCAGATATGAATAGATTGAGGATGTAGGCTAGTCTGAGCTTGCATATATCTTCTTCTAACTACCAGATCAGGCAAAGATTGAAAGTGTAAGGAAAAGGCATCCGTGGGGAGGGGAGGGATCAAAAAAGTCAACATGGCAACCACAGCTGTGTCATTAAATCTCCCCCCTTTTTTCCTGTGCATCAGAACCACCGTCTTGACTTTTTGCACGGGCCCTGCGGATGTCCTTACTTAAATGCACACTGCGTTGTGTCGCTCGCGTTTCATTTTATTTCAACAGGACCAAAACTGCAGCTCGCGGGCTACAATTAAAAGAGGGAAAGGTTGGGTTGCAAACAGTATTTACTCATTCCGAATTTCTCCTCCTTCCTTGGGACATGTCGCAAAAACAGCGCAGAAGGGAGAAAGAAAAGAAAAAAGGAAGGAAGGAAGGAAGGAAGGAAGGAAGGAAGGAAGGAAGGAAGGAAGGAAGGAAGGAAGGAAGGAAGAAAGGAAGGAAGGAAGGAAGGAAGGAAAAATGAGCTGAGATGTTTCAAAACATTTCAACAAGTGGGTGGGAGAAAGGAGAGATTGGATGGGAAAGTAAACACACACACACACACACATCAAATATGTGTGGGGGCAAATCCTGCACATCACAACCAATGGGGGGGGGAGGGGGAACAGCTCAATGCTAATTATAGCCTACAAACCCTTGTGGAGCCACACAATCTTGGCAAAAACACGCCAGCTTTTGAAATTGAACTCAAAAGGAGAGCCACGGGGGGGCCTTTCGGAGCAGAAGGCTGGAATAAAAGAAAACCCGGGCTGTTTTTTTGGGGGGGGGGGGCTGGCATTTGAAAGCCCTAGACTGCCTTCCAGTAGAAATAGAGATGTGGTTGTTGGTGCTTTGTTGTTTCCAAGCACTCGGGATCTACAATGCCAGGCTTGTCTTTTATTCAACACCATGAGGGCTAGGAACTTATTATTAAAAATGCATTGCATCTCAATGTTTTGGTTAAGGGGTTTTGTTTTTGTTTTTTTTGATGCTCAGAACTGCTTTTCTCAACTGAAGTTTTTTTTAAATATACAGATCGTCCTCGATTTACAACAGTTCATTTAGTGACCGTTCGAAGTTTACAACAGCCCTGAAAAAAGTGATTTACGACTATTTTTAACACTTACAACCGTTGCAGCCTCCCCAAGGGCCATGTGATCAAAATTCAAGCGCTTGGCAACTGACTCCCATTTATGACGGTTGCCGTGTCCCGGGGTCACGTGATCACTTCAGCGACCTTCTGACAAGCCAAGTCAACGGGGAAACCAGATTCACTTAACAACCAGGTTACTAACTTACCCACTGCAGTGATTCACTTAACAACGGAGGCCAGAAAGGTCGTAAAATGGGGCAAAATTCACTTAACAAATGGTTCACTTAGCAACAGAAATTTTGGGCTCAATTGTGGCCGTACGTTGAGGAATACACACACACACACACACACACACACACACACACACATTATATACATATACATAATATAAACCGTGAAAGATGAAAGGCATATAAAAATAGGGGATAAATTAAAAATTACTAAGGTGAAAATAAGAAAATGTGTCATCAAGATTACAGTTTTCCCAACATATCACTACATTACTTACAAAGTTATAAATAGCTTATGTTACATTTGGAAGGGAAAAAAAAACTAAAAGCCAGTATTATAGTTGAACCCACTGATCCACCAACTGATTCTGGACCTGACCCGTCCTTTATTCACTGTGGACACTGTACAGTTTCCATTTCCATATTTTCAATTTTACATTTTCCGGTCTGTGTGCGCAGCCTAGCATTGCTGCGAAGACCGGGTGACGGATGCGTGTCGAAAATTCCAAGGTGAACTCAGAATTTTGAATTCCTGAGCCAGCCACGCTGAGGGGAAAAGGAGAGGTTTCCAAGCTGAGTCATGGCTGGCTCAGGAATTCTGGGAGTTGAAGTCCACCAGTCATAAAAGAGCCAAGGTGGCCTACCCTAGTCTAGATGGAGAAGTCAAAAGACATTCTAGAGAAAGACAAATTGCAAAACTACTTCTTTACAGTTGCTAAGAAAAGTGACCGGTAACTAAGTCATC